CCCCAAAACCCCAAAACCCCAAAACCCCAAAACCCCATGTTCCTACAGATGGATTGGCCATTTCTTCAACTAAAATATTTCAATCAGTTTTTAGATTACAAATAAATATGAAAAAAAAGACTCGCTCGACCAAGAAAAGGGACCTTAAGGAAATGAGCAAGCAGAAGGAAGCTGAGGAAGCTCATACAAGTCCTAAATCACAGGCTGTGAGTGTTAATGCGAAATTGAACCTGGAGGATCTGATCGTGTGTCAGATCTGTAAGGATCAAGTCGATAAGGACCATAAAATGTGACCTAAATGTAGCTGTATATGGTGTACTGACTGAATTCATCCATGTTTTAACAATAAAAAGACCGTCAATTGCCCCAACTGTAGGGGTATTATCTATAAGAAAAGCTTAAAAAGGCTTCCGTTGTTTGAAAAGTTGAAAGAATTGGTTCATGATACCGGTTTTCCTACTCCCGTACCCAAAATGGTCGGTTGTCCCATTCATAATCTCCCTGATGAGTATTATTGAAAGGAATGAGACATCCTCTGATGATCGAATTGAGCACTTCTTAGTGATAACCACAAGAATCACTCATTTGTTTCTCTAGATGAGATCTATAAGGTGAAAAAGGAGTCAGTCCTACAATTCCAAGATAACCTGAAAGGTCTTTCCAAAGAATGTCAGAAGCTGTTGGATACCTCAATGAAGAATGTGGAGCGATCAAAGAAGAACCTGGCTAATTTTAAGAACCAGTTTGAGAGATGAGCCAAGGATTGGATCCAAGAATTTGAAAATAGGTTCAACTCTGACCTTAAAGCTGAAGAGAAATGAAAGAGCTCTATTGAAGAACTACTCAATGAAACTCAGATACAGAATATAGCTTTCCAAGACTTACTTGATAAAGACGAAAAGACAGAGTTGATTAGAAGCTATAATGAGGAAACTCATAATGCGAGAGGGACTCTTGTTAAGCAAGATAACCTCCAAATTTCAAAGATTGTAGAAGGTGAAGGCATTCAAAATCATTTTTTCCCTGAATACATTATCCAGGAGTGAGCCATTCCTCCTATAAATAATGATACACCTGAGGGTCAGTTTCTGTATTCACAAGAGTTTGTGGTGGTTAAAGACAAGTTCAAGCTTGGAGCTAAAGTATTCCAGGCGAATAACTCCAAGAAGGTTGAGATATCTCTAAGAATCTACAAACCCAACGCTCGAGAGAAGCAATACAAGGTTTTGCTGTACCACCCTGGAAGCCAAGATTTAATTGATGAGTTTACCTTGTCTTTAGACAAGAACAAACAAGCTGAGAACCATATTTTGATGACTTCAACAATGAACTTAAAGTAGGTGGTTTTCCCTTTCATAATTTCTTCTCTCCAAATACCATTCTGAAAGTCTTTTATAGCTTCGAAAAATTGAAAGCAGACGATGGGCGCATAATCTTCCTGCTTAAGGTCCGTCCAGCAAGCTATTTGCAGGTAACTTTAGACCAACAAGACTATATTGAGCAACTAGAGAGAGCCAATGCAGAGTCTAGTCTCTAATTGAATAGTCTTTTTCCAAAACATTTATGAGGATTTCCAGTGTTTCTTATTTCTAACACTTTATTCATGCTGTCTCAACATATTTCAGATGACAGGGGTTTTGGGGTTTTGGGGTTTTGGGGTTTTGGGG